CAACTACCCCGCAGCCTGCAGAGTTTGACGTTTGGTGGCCAGTTCAACCAGAGCCTGGAGGGCATCCAACTACCCAGCAGCCTGCAGAGTTTGACGTTTGGCAGACAGTTCAACCAGAGCCTGGAGGGCATCCAACTACCCAGCAGCCTGCAGAGTTTGAAGTTTGACTACTGTTTCAACCAGACTTTGGAGGGCATCCAACTACCCAGCAGCCTGCAGAGCTTGACGTTTGGCCAAAATTTCAATCAGAGCCTGGAGGGCATCCAACTACCCCGCAGCCTGCAGAGTTTGACGTTTGGTGGCCAGTTCAACCAGAGCCTGGAGGGCATCCAACTACCCAGCAGCCTGCAGAGTTTGACGTTTGGCAGACAGTTCAACCAGAGCCTGGAGGGCATCCAACTACCCAGCAGCCTGCAGAGTTTGAAGTTTGACTACTGTTTCAACCAGAGTTTGGAGGGCATCCAACTACCCAGCAGCCTGCAGAGTTTGACGTTTGGTGGCCATTTCAACCAGAGTTTGGAGGGCATCCAACTACCCAGCAGCCTGCAGAGTTTGACGTTTGGCGCTTGTTTCAACCAGAGTTTGGAGGGCATCCAACTACCCAGCAGCCTGCAGAGTTTGACGCTTGGTGGCCATTTCAACCAGAGTTTGGAGGGCATCCAACTACCCAGCAGCCTGCAGAGTTTGACGATTGGCCACACTTTCAACCAGAGCCTGGAGGGCAGCCAACTACCCAGCAGCCTGCAGAGTTTGACGTTTGGCACCCGTTTCAACCAGACTTTGGAGGGCATCCAACTACCCAGCAGCCTGCAGAGTTTGACGTTTGGCCAAAATTTCAATCAGAGCCTGGAGGGCATCCAACTACCCAGCAGCCTGCAGAGTTTGACGTTTGGCAGACAGTTCAACCAGAGTTTGGTGGGCATCCAACTACCCAGCAGCCTGCAGAGTTTGACGCTTGGTGGCCATTTCAACCAGAGTTTGGAGGGCATCCAACTACCCAGCAGCCTGAAGAGTTTGACGTTTGGCCACACTTTCAACCAGAGCCTGGAGGGCAGCCAACTACCCAGCAGCCTGCAGAGTTTGACGTTTGGCACCCTTTTCAACCAGACTTTGGAGGGCATCCAACTACCCAGCAGCCTGCAGAGTTTGACGTTTGGCCAAAATTTCAATCAGAGCCTGGAGGGCATCCAACTACCCAGCAGCCTGCAGAGTTTGACGTTTGGCAGACAGTTCAACCAGAGCCTGGAGGGCATCCAACTACCCAGCAGCCTGCAGAGTTTGACGCTTGGTGGCGAGTTCGACCAGAGTTTGGAGGGCCTCCAACTACCCAGCACTCTGCAATTTCTCACTTCGCGGAATTTTAGTGTTGCCACGTGGTGAGCCCTGATGTGCTGGTTTTGTGTCCTCGTCAAGGCCAGCTGGGTCGAATGACCGTTCAGGGTTTAGGTTTGAGGGGCGGCTTTGGTCCATTGGTTCTTGACGAATGTCCTAAAGCAGGTCTTCGTCGTCACGGCTGCTGGTATCTATGGCGGCGCTCGTTCCTGACCTCTTTGGATCCCATACCCAGCATGACTGTTCCAGAAGATTTTGAACTCGAAAGGAAGCCCACGTCCTGTTGCTAACCACCAACCCGCTGAGTGTTTTTAAGTTCTCAGCCTAACGGCTGATTTGGGCACAAGCCTCTTCTTATGGACCTGCTCAGCGGAGAAAGCGCCACTGCATATTTGGAAATCAACCCTTGCAGCCCTGTTTTTGGGCTTGTGGCTTCGAAGGGCTGTCGTAGCCCTGAGTACTGAGGGTCCATGTGCCCAACCCTAAACCCTATAAACCCTAAACCGTACTTAAAGGATCATGGGACTTGGTCTAGGGTTATATTTCAGGTAACTCAACTTATATCTTCTTATAACCCCGATTATGGGACTTATAACCTCACTTACTAAGTTCCACGATCCTCCAAGTAACCCTAATGGTCTATGCTTCGGCCCTTTCCTGCCTATATACAGACGACTTCAAGGCCAAAGTATATGCTAGTTGGGCGCATGGACCCTTACCCTAAGGCTCAAAATAGCCCAAGAGCGTCATATAGTATGGTCTCCGAGCCCAAAAGCCTCAAAATGTGAGCCCTTAGAGCCTTAGGGTTGGGGTAGCGCCACTGCTTAAATGGCTTCGGGACCTCGCCTTGGCCTGTCCAAGGCCGTAGTTCTATCAACGGGGAAAAGGAGGGACCCTTACTGGGGACCCCTGCCCTATAACGGGCTTTGTAATGGGTGTATAATAGCTATATTAAGGGTATATACCTAGGGGTCCTTCTTAAGGGTCCCTCCCTTTACCCTTGGATTCTAGCCTCGCGGGTCTTACCCTTTTGCCGCAGTACCAATCAAGATCCCTATAAACCCTAACCTAAACCCCTAAACCCTCAATCCTAAACCCCTAAACCCGTGTCGGAATCCCCGAGACGTGGACGGCGCCGGGCACGATCCACCTAGCCAGCCCGGCTTCCCGAATCTGCTCGAGGATCCCTTCATGGAGGATCATGGGACTTAGTAAGTAAGGTTCTTACCTTTCATGAAGACTAACCCTATACCCGTAGGCCCCATAGTTTCCGATAAGGTAATGCCAAAAAGGAACTACTATGGGGCCTAACCCTACTTAGAGGAGGATCATGGGACTTAGTAAGTAGGGTTATAGCTACCTTAACTGGGGTTATAAGTAGCTATAAGTAAAGTTACCCTAATCATAACCTTTGTTACTACGTCCCATGATCCTTCAAGTTCTGCAACTTCCAAGACTCCCCAAGTGCCCCTCACTGGAGCCCTTACCCTAAGGGTCCATAGGACCCAATAGTTGGGTACTTAAGTTTCGGATAGTAGTTATGAGGTTACTATTTGGGAGAGCATATGATTATTAGGTATTTGGACCCTTAGGGTAATAGTGGTATTTCGGGTTTATTCAAGGGTAGTTGGGGAGTCCGAAAAGATTTGGCAGCTGGAGATCCGGGAAGGCATGCCATATGGACAAGGAACTTAAGAATGAAACTTGAATCATTGCCAATGTCTGTCTTTAGGGCTCCTGCTTATACCATAATCATACCCGACACATTCCAGAACCCTGTTAGACAAACTCTACGATGTACCCTAAACCCTCAACCCTCATAGTTTGACTACCACGTACCCCATGTACTCAAACAGTAGATACTAGTAGTAGACTCTTTGGCCCCAAAGTACCTATACAGGGACTACCTTACAGTACCCGAAACGACCCTTGACCCCTAAAAGTTATCCCTTAAGGCAGCCCTCAAGATACCTTGGAGGCCCCGCTACGGGGACCCTTAGAAAGGATCGATGAAAAGACATCCCTACCCCCTAGACCCTAAACCCGAAACCCTTGAAAAAGGTCCCTCAAAGGAACCCTTATATACCCTAAGGCTCAAAATGACCCAAAAGCCTCATCTAGCATGGTCCTTGGGCCCAGCAGCCTTATAATATGAGTCCTTAGATCCCTAGGGTAAGGAACCGAAAAGATCCCCCTAAAGAACCCTTATGGATCTTCTAATTCCACAGGCTGGCAGAGAGCGCCTCCCAGCGGAGACCGCGAAGACCTTCTGGACTGCCTGCTTGGAGGATCATGGGACTTAGTAAATGGGTAATATTTGGGGTTATAAGTCCCATAAGTGTGGTGATTCTAATTATAACCTACTTACAACCTTACTTCATAAGTCCCATGAGCCCATGAGCCTTCAAGCACCGAAAGGAACTGGGAGGCTCTTAACAGGAATTTACGAGGGGTTTAGGATTTGACGTTGAGGGTTTAGGGTTCAGGGAATTTGTAAGGGGTTTCTAAAGGAGGCTCTTAAACGGAATGTACAAAGATTTGCATAGGTAAGTGGCAGAGGGATAGCGCCAAGCAGTGACTAATCTCACGGCTCTACTGACCCAACGAAACCAGGGCACGGAGAAGGCTTATTTTGAGCCTGAGGGTCAGGGTTTAGAAGTGTCTACAAGTCTAGTTACTCTCATTGCTATACATCATGATCCTTGAGTCCCAGATCCTTTAATTAGTAAAGGGGCCTAAACAATTGCCAAGGGTTTCTTGTTCGCAATATAGTATAGTATACCCCAAACCCTTATGCTAATTATTGTAAGGCCCCGACGTCTTTTTCGACCCACCAGGATACCATTACTTAAAGGATCATGGGGCTTAGTAACTAGGGTTATAATTAGGGTAACTATACCTATAACTACTTACAACCCCTATTAAGGTACTTATAACCTTACTTACTAAGTCCCATGATCCTCCAAGCAATCTTGGTTGCTGTTGGCGGCTCCTCCACTCGAAGCTTCATCCTCAAGCGGGCAGCTTTTTGCAGCTTCGGAGCATTTAGGGTTCCTGGGGCTAGAGTCAGGGTACTTGGGGCTTGCAAGTCTCGTGTGGCCCTCTGCCGATGTGCGAAAAGTTTTGTACAGAATACTGCATTGAATTCCTTTACACTGTGCCTACATACATCGATGTGCTGCGCATGCAAGGGATTTTGTAAAGCAGTTCAGAGCCCACTCAGCGCATGCAGCAGACATGGATTAACCGAGATTCCCACAGCCCTTGCGGATCAAAAGTCCCAGCACGTCTTAGTGTTTTTCATGGTAGCGGAGCCATTGCGCTCCAGAGCGGTGAATCCTTTGTGATACCGCTCGGGGACCGGACCCAATCCCCAAAGCTGCCACTCCGCCCCGCGAGCCTTTAAGCCCGCCTTGTGCGGCATAGCTTCGGGAGCCACGACTCTGCGGCAGAGCGCCGCCTTGGACCACCGAGGGCTGAGAGCAGCCCGTGCAATCTTCTTCGCCGCCTCCGTTTTCTTCTTTGCTGTTTGGCCCCAGGACTGCCCAACAAGCGCCGCCTGGGTTGGACCTAGGTTGGCTGTCTTCCTCGTTGGCGTTGGTCGCTGGCATCGAGGGCTACCCTTTGAGGACTGGAGCGTTGGTGCCAGGGCTTTCTGCCCCGCACCAATGGCGCAGCCTTCTGCGGGCGCCGTGCCGGAGGCCGAGATGGAGGAAGCAACCATGCAAGATGGAATGGCAGCTGGGCCCGTGGTCGACGAGACTGCGGAGAGAGCGGCAGCTATTGCTGCTGAGCAGGTGGCTGTGGCAGCCAGCCTGCAGCGACGCCACGACCAGCTTATCAGGCTGGTGCAGAAGCCCGACCTCTACCGCCCTGAGACACGAGACCAGGAGACAGAGCAGTGGATGGACTGGAGGTTCGCCTTTGTGTCCTACCTTGGCGTGGTAGACGCCCAGTTTGCGGTAGAAATAGAGAAGGTCGAAGCAACGGCGAACTCGGAGAAGGCGATGGTGAACATGGAGCCGGCCACGCAGGTTCGCTCACGCGAACTATATGCAATATTGCTGTCGTTCGTGAGGAACAGGCCGGCAAAGTTGGTCCGGGCGGTCCCCCAGAGCAACGGCTACGAGGCTTGGAGAGTCTTGACTTTGGAGATGATGCCCTCCAGCCGCCAGAGACAACTTGCGCTTATTACGCAACTCACCTCCACCCGGCTGGACGGCACCAAGTCTTTGGGCGAGCAACTTGGCAGATACGATGAACTTGTTCGAGAATATGAGCGCGTGTCGGGAGGAAAGTTTTCGGAGGACCTCAAGGTGAGCACTCTTATTGCAGCCGCGCCGCCGGCGCTACAAGCACAGCTGCACATGAGCTTGGGGCCTTCGACCACCTATGTTTCAGTGCGTGAGAAAATCCTCCTGTACGAGCGCTCCACGGCCAAGTGGCACACCGCCACTCCGCTGGCAATGCCCTCCTTGAGTTCCTCCTCGAGCGGCCCTGCCCCCATGGAGGTGGACCGCGTGCAGGACAAGGGCAAGGGCAAGGGCAAGAAGAAGGACGGCAAAGGGACGGCCCAGAAGGGCCAGCAACAGCCCAAGGGAAAGGGCAAGCAGAAGGGCAAGGGCAAAGGAAAGGCCGCAGCAGCCGAGTGCTGGAACTGTGGCAAGAAGGGCCACTACTCCAGAGACTGTTGGCACAAAGGCAAAGGGCGCGGCGGCCAGAAGGTGAACCAGGTGCAGGAGACCGAGACGGCGAGCAACGCGGGTTCTACCACATCGGCGGCGACTACTACCACTACGCCGTCGGCGTCTACGGCACCTACCGCTGGAAATGGCCGAGCCGTGCGACTTGTGAGGATGATCACCCCTCCGTCTGCCCCCATCCTGGAGGTCTACGAGATGTCGGATGGTGAGATAGAGGAGCCCTACGAGTGCGCGGTCCGGGCCGTGACCTACCTGAAGTACAAAGGGAAGGTTGCCCAGCAGAGCGGGTTCGATGAGGGCGAGCCTTGGGAGATCATTTTGGACTCCGGGGCTGACGCCTCTATGGTGCCAGAGTCCCTGCGACACCTGGGCCAGGATGCCAACGACCGCGTCCCTCACCTTACCGACGCCCAGGGGAACTCCATCGCCAGCCGGGGGATGAAGAAGTACGAGTTCCTTCTTGAGGACACCAACGGCCAGCAGTACCTCATCCGGGAAACGTGTGTGGTTGGCCCGGTGCGCTCTCCTTTGCTGGCCGTGGGAAAACTTCTGAGAAAAGGCTGGCAACTTACTTCGCCAGGAGGACCTGGGCACCTGCACTTGGAGGAGCCCTTTGGAAGGAAAACCCCAGTGGGGTACAAGAACCACAGCCTGGTGGTACTAGGCCACATTCGGGCCCTCACCGAGGTCCCGCGGACTTTGCCCCCGAAGGTGCCGGAGGTGATGCTTCCCGACTTTATGCAGGAGCACGTGGGCACCGAGGGCATGCACACTCTTGAGAACGGCTGGCGGATGCACTACAGCAAGGAGGCCAAGCAGCTTCTTGATGGACGCGAGTGGTTCGATGGGGACTACTGGTGCTGCCGGACCACTTTTCTGCAGACTGCGAGCGGGAAGTGGTTGCAGGTGGAGAACAGCGCCGACTATACCTACGAGGCCAACCCCTACGGCACCGTGTCCATCTACCCTGTAGCCCGGGTGACTTTGTTCAGCATGACCCCGTTCAGCTCTGCCAGTTTTCCCGGCGGCCTCGAACCGAAACCTTCCGACAGGTTGCTGTACGAAGCATCTCCTGTGGAGGAGGCCGGCCCAGGAGCAAGCTCGTCCCAAGGGCCAGCGAGTGCGAGCCAGGCCCAGCGGGAAGAGCCGGCACGAGAGGATGTGGAGCCGGACGCCCAGGACCCCGGAGGACGAGGAGATGGGCGCACCGCCGGCAGGGCTTACGCAGGAGGAGCTCGAAGCCTATGTTGGGACGTGGGCAGCCAAGGCGGTTGAGGACGATTTGGTCCGGGAGCCGGCTGGCCTGCGACAGCCCGACGAGCCGCCAGATGATGAAGCCCAGGCTCGGCACCGTTTGACCCACGTACCGTTTGCTTCGTGGTGCCCAGCCTGTGTAAAGACGCGCAGCCGAGACGACCACCACCGCCGAGCCAACCAAGACCACAGTGTGCCCGTGGTGCAGGTCGACTTCTACTACACCAAGGTGGACCCCGAGTCGCGGCCGGACCCTGAGGCTTTCCAGGAGGCTACCAACATGATTGGCGTGGACCTGGAGACGAAGATGGTTCCGGGCCCCGACAAAGGGCCGAGCATGCTGAGGCGAGTCGCCGAGGAGCTCACGAGATTTACCGTGAGCCTCCATGCCGAGGACACCGTCATCATTCAGTCCGACGGCGAGCCCTCGATTAAGGCAGTGGTCCGGGCAACAGCGGCAGCGAGACAGCGCCTCAACAAGAAGACGGTGCAGCGCACGACACCAGTTGCTGCACATGCGTCCAATGGGGGCGCAGAGCGCGCCATACAAACAGTCCGGCGCCTTGGGAACTGTTTCGCGGAAGCCTTCGAAGAACGCGCTGGGAAGCTGAAGGTCGGCAGCCATGTAAGGGTCTGGGTGCAGGGACACGCAGCCTTCATTTACAACAGGTTCCACCTGCTCCCGGGCATCAGCAAGACCCCCTTCGAGCTGGCGCACGGCGGGAAGCAGTTCGACCAGCGCCTCTGCGAGTTTGGGGAGACAGTCTACGGCCGAGTCGTGCGGAAGTACAAGGGCGAGGCGCAGTGGATAAAAGGCGTTTGGTGCGGGATCAACCCGCACAGTGGGGCACACCGTATCATGAGTGCGGTCGGCCACCTTGAGTGCAACGCCGTCCGCCGAGCAGCCAGCCACCTGCAGCTCAAAGCCGAGGAGATTGATGCTGAGATGTTTGGGCTGCCTTGGGAGCACGGAGTGGTGGAAAAGAAGCGGCAGGCAAAGAGGAGGACAGCGCCCACAGCCATGCCGGCGGTCCTCATGCAAGAAGACCCTGCTTCCTTGTTGGCACCGCCCACACCAGCAACACCCGGAGGTTTGTCGCAAGCGCCGGCCACCCCTGCACCAGAGCGGGCCGAGCCGAACACGCCAAGGCCCGCTGGACCTGCCACAGGAGCACAGCAGGACGAGGCCGGGAGCGACCCAGAAAGCAGCAGCAGCAGCAGCTCTGAAGATGAGTTGCTGGCGGCAGCGGATGCAAGCCCAACCGGGCTTAAGCGGAAAGCGGCCGAGCAAGCAGCCGCCAGCTCGAGAGTCCGAGGGAGAACCCTGGAGGAACCAGGAACTGGAACAAAGCGGAAGCCCAGCCGAAGCCCAGAGAAGGAGGAGAGTGAGCCCAGTCATGCCATCAGGCTGGTGGAGACCGTGGACGCGCAGTGGCACGAGGCTGCGGATCTGGAGGTCCCGGCGGGCCCCGAGGAAACCGAGTGGGAGGTGATAGGCGGGGACGCGTTCAGCAGCGACACCGCCAAGGACAGCAACAACAAGTTCAGCGACTTCCCGCCGGAGGTCTCCGAGGAGGACCTGGAACAGCTTGACGCCGAGGCTGAGTTGGAAGAGGTGGCCAGGCTCGAGAAGATTGGGGTTCTTAAGGAAGTCACCGAAGAGCCGGCCGAGCACCTCTCCACGATCTTTGTGAAGGTCTGGAAGCTTGGGCCTCAAGGATGGTTCCGCCGAGCACGTCTCGTTGCCAGGCAATACCGGTGGGCCAGCCACATGCAGGATGATGAGACCTTTGCTCCTGCATCCGTGGCGCCTCTCGGGAGAATGGTGCCACTTATGGCACTCACCTGGGGCACCCCGATATACGTCCTAGACGTGAAGGACGCCTACTTGACGGTCGACCAGCCGGAGGACGAGCCCGTGACAATCAGCTCGCCAGCGTCTTGGTTCAAGAAGCACGGCGAGCACAAGACGTGGAAGTTGGGCAAGGTCCTCCCCGGCCAGAGGCGCGGCGCCCAGGAGTGGTACAACAAGTTCAACGACGACCTCACCAAGAACGCCCTGGAGCCCATGATTGAGGTTCCCACTTTGTACCGCTCCCTGGAAGGCCGCTTTGGGGGACAGCTCCACGTGGATGATATGATGTCCACCGGGGACGACGAGGTGATCCAGCCGCTCCACAAGGACCTTTCGAGCAAGTACACGGTGAAGATCGCCGGCCCCTACCAGAACCCTGGGGATGAGTTCGAGTTTCTCAAGAGGAGGTACCGCATCGAGAGCGACCTCAGCATCACCGTTCGGCCAGCTATCCGGTTCTACTACGACGTGTGGGAGCTGACCGACAGACCGAAGACCAGGTCAACCCCGGGCCCTACCGAGCTCATGTTCCACAAGGACGACAGCGACGAGCTTTCGAACCCAGAGGCCACAAAGTACCGCACCGTTGTGGGGAAGCTGTTGTATATCAGTGGAGAAAGGCCGGACGCGCAGGTGGTGATACAGTACCTGTCGTCCAAGGCCAGCAGCCCCACCAAGACCTCAATGAGAGTGCTTTGCCACCTTTGCGGGTACCTTTGGGCAACGCAGGGCTACGGGATCAACCTGCGAGTGCACACCGGCAGCTCGATACTGCGGTCTGAGGGGGCGCCTCCGAGGAGCGAGCACAAGGACCCAGCTGCGAAGCCCGTGGTCGAGGCGATATCGGACTCGAACTTCGCCAACAGCCACGAGACGCGAAGGAGCTTGAGTTCAGGCCAGGTGTACTACGACGGCGCCTTGGTCTACTCCTTCGTCAGGGCCCAGAAGGTGGTCACGACGAGCTCTGGCGAGGCCGAGCTGGTGGCGTTGACGCAGACGGTGGGAGAGGCCGTGTTGGTGCGGAAGGCGGTCGCGTTCCTGCTGGGGCGCCGGCCTGAGGATGTTGACCTGACGGCCCGCACCGACAGCTCAGTGGCCCGAGCCATTGCATCTCGCAATGGTATCGGCAAGGTCAAGCACCTCTCGACCTCCTGCCTTTGGCTCCAAGGTTGGGTGGCAAGGAAAGAGCTGAAGATCTCCGCCATCCCGACCGAGATCAACCCCGCTGACCTCGGCACCAAAGTGCTCACGGCACGCCGGATGGCCTTGCTACTGTTCATCCTCGGGATGGTTGGCGACAATGGCCAGAGGATTGGAGAAGAAGAGCACCAAGAACGGCGAGCACGACGAGGAGGCCAACATGCAAGCGTGCTGCGGCTTGCGCAGATGGTGCTGGCCATGCAGCTTCAAGGGTGTGCCGCTGTTGAGGGCAGCGGGCAGGCCACGAACGACTTTGTCGAGCAGTTCTTTCTGAAGCTGCTGCTCGCTCTTGAGGTGCTCAATGGTGTCCTGCTGGAGTACCCCGCCGCGCTTGGATTGGTCGCTGTGCTGTTGGTGGCAGTCGGGCTGTGCTATGGAACCTGGGGAAGGCCCTTTGTGATCAAGGTCGAGGTGACACGGCATTCGGGGCTTGAGTCGGCTACGGTGATGTCGTGTGGATCCCGACCCAAGGCCAAGGCACAGAGCACAAGCAGACGAGGACCAACAAGCAGCCCACGAGGACCATCAAGCAGCCCACGGGGACCAGCTGGCAACGCACAAGCGGGAGGTAGCGGACAACGAGAAGCAGATCACGAACCACATCGAGAAGCAGATCACGAACCACATCAAGGAGCAGATCACGAACCACATCGAGCAGATCACGGACCACATCGAGCAGATCACGGACCACATCGAGCAGATCATGGGCCACAGAGGTCAGAACAGAGGCACAGTCGTGAAGTCGTACAAGGGGAACCGAGCAGTTCTACAGCCACCGGAGGGTCAGGACCGATGGCACACAATGGCGACGGGTCTCTCCAGTTCCTGGGCACAGGTGCGAGTCCTGTGCGACCGGCTGCAGAGGCAGTGACAACAGTTCCCTGGCGACCCAGAGGGCGGCTCGTGCTGGCAAAGGGCGCTCGACAGGACCCTTTGGACCCCAATGGTGAGGCCCTGGTGATGTGGCGCTACGACAATGTGGTCTATGCACCCTCGAGGGGATATGCGTTTCACCTGCCTTCGTGCAGGAATGTGCAGGGCAGTGCCAAGACCGTACGGCGCTGCACCTTGCAAGAAGCGATTGAACGCGGCTTGCAGCCCGGACAGTGCTGCACCGCGGGTCGCTTGGAGATGGTCGAAAATCGACCGTAGAAATCCATGCCTGAGGGGGCGTGTAAAGCAGTTCAGACCCCACTCAGCGCATGCAGCAGACATGGATTAACCGAGATTCCCACAGCCCTTGCGGATCAAAAGTCCCAGCACGTCTTAGTGTTTTTCAGATTTCCATGCCAGCGCTTCAATTATGCTTCTGTTCTTATCCTAGCTGCCCATCTCGGCTCGGGGCCTTCATCGTCATCATCATCGTTTTCATTTCATGATCATCACCAACAACAACAACAAGATCCCTCGACAGTCAGCACCGCCCCAAGAAGACTTGCTAAAGAAGACGATCAGCCGACAGCGCTGGCAGGCTCTGTTCCGGTCATCGCCGCGAAGCCGCCAAGGCGCATGGTGGAGGGTCCTCTCGGTTCGGCTGTTACTGTAGGGGCCTAAATAACTGCCTATACTATTTGAGGTTCCTTGTTATAACTATATAGTATAATGGGCAATGGGCCCCAAAACCCTATATTCTAATTATTCTCGCCCCTCCGGCAGCGTTTAGGGGCCCAAAAAGAGCCCAAGCACGACAGGAGGGTTGGAATATTGATGCATAAGTAACAACAGTGAAACCTCATGGTTTCTATGTGGTTCTACATTTTTTCAAAAAAGGCCTTGGATTATCTCCTTTTCTGTCCCTATGTACACTGTGATTCTATGCTGCAAGAGGCCCCCAAAACCCTACCTATCTCCCCGAACCCTACAAAATAGTAGGTTATGACCCCTTAATTAGAGGGTCTAACCCTTAAAACGGTAGGTTTTTGGATCCCCAGGTAGTCACCCAATCTAACTACACTGGCCCCTGGCATTCCGGCTTCAAGCTTCTTTGGAAGTTTATGTTTTGAGGGCGAAATTAAAAGGAGGGGGATCCCTACCCTACAATGGGCTATATAATGGGTATATAATAGCCATATTAAGGGTATATATTTGGAGGTTCTTATGCTCAAAGAGGAAAATGAGGGGGACCCCTACCCTATGATGGGCTATATAATGGGTATATAATAGCTATATTAAGGGCATGAGGTGTTATCGATGCCCAGGATGCGGACGTGATGATAGCAGCATGTACCCTTTAATTGAGCCCTTCTGGTCTTCGATATTGACTGTTTGGGGTAGACTGGAGGGCTAGGTTGAGCCTCACCTCCTGAACCCAAGCTTTGTTAATCAGGGGCTTACATTAAGGACTTATATAGGGAGATCATAATAGGGAGCCCCAAAAAGGAAGGTTGTTTAGGGCCCAGGTGGGGTTAGGGGTTTAAGGTTTAGGGAATAGGGCTTAGGGTTCAGGGCCAGGAAAGGCGAATAGTATTCCGCAGGGTTCCTTAGCCTATTTGTTCTTTGTCAAGGTCCCTACATGGCTTTGTGGCTGGGTCTTGGGAGGGTTTTAGTGTTGTCGGATTTACGAGTGTGAACGACCATAGCCTACCTTTTCGTAGGTGCTTGTTTGAAACAGCGGTGCCAGGATAGAAACCCTAAACCCTAAATCCTAAACCCTAAACCATGCCAGGATAGAAACCCTCAAAGGAACCCAGAAGGATCTTTACAGTTCCGTTTCAATTGCACGATACGGGGTTCCATTTAGGGTACTACAGGCGGTCAAGGGTGCTAGAGGGATACTTTAAGGGTTCCTTTAGGAGTAATTATCTGTAAAGCTTTGTCAGGCTCAGTCAACACTCAAGCCAGACGACAGTGTGGCGATGGAAACTGTACGATTTAAATAAGTACTATGCATATTTTGAGCATCCCCGCCCACATCCCAACCTCGAACCCCGAAACCACTTCAAGAACGATCCCTAAACCCGGAACCCTTATGGTCTACCCTATAAGCTGTATATTTGGGGACTACCGGGCTTCTGATCCTAGCGCCTCACGGAAGTCCGCCAACGCCATGGCCGATTGTGCTGCGTCTGAAGCCATCATGCAGCAGATCGTGAGCGTCCATTGCATGGCAGGTTCCAGCTTTGAGCTGAAGGTCAACTCTGCCGAGACGGGGTGGGAAGTAGCAGAGCGCATCGCAGCCGGAGTTGGCCACCCTGCAGGTTTACTTCTGCTGACATCCGGTGGCTGTGTCATCAATCCGCGCCAGCTGCTGCTGCATCATGTCCAGCACGACGAGATCTGGTACGTGGTGCGCAAGCTTGGTGCGGGCCGTGTCGCAACGCTTTGGGAGCGCTTACTCAAGGGACAAACAGTGTCTAATGCAGATGTAGCTGCCCTGAACGAAACGAAGTCAGTCACCTGGTATTCCCACGAAAACCTAAACCAAGGCATCCAACTACCCAGTAGCCTGCAGAGTTTGACGTTCGGCGACAATTTCAACAAGAGTTTGGAGGGCATCCAACTACCCAGCAGCCTGCAGAGTTTGACGTTTGGCACCCTTTTCAACCAGACTTTGGAGGGCATCCAACTACCCAGCAGCCTGCAGAGTTTGACGTTTGGCGCCCTTTTCAACCAGAGTTTGGAGGGCATCCAACTACCCAGCAGCCTGCAGAGTTTGACGCTTGGTGGCCAGTTCGACCAGAGCCTGGAGGACATCCAACTACCCAGCAGCCTGCAGAGATTGACGGTCGGCACCCTTTTCAACCAGACTTTGGAGGGCATCCAACTACCCAGCAGCCTGCAGAGTTTGACGTTTGGCCACAATTTCAACCAGACTTTGGAGGGCCTCCAACTACCCAGCAGCCTGCAGAGTTTGACGTTTGGCAGACAGTTCAACCAGACTTTGGAGGGCATCCAACTACCCAGCAGCCTGCAGAGTTTGACGTTTGGCTATAATTTCAACCAGAGCCTGGAGGGCATCCAACTACCCAGTAGCCTGCAGAGTTTGACGTTCGGCGACAATTTCAACAAGAGTTTGGAGGGCATCCAACTACCCAGCAGCCTGCAGAGTTTGACGTTTGGCACCCTTTTCAACCAGACTTTGGAGGGCATCCAACTACCCAGCAGCCTGCAGAGTTTGACGTTTGGCGCCCTTTTCAACCAGAGTTTGGAGGGCATCCAACTACCCAGCAGCCTGCAGAGTTTGACGTTTGGCGCTTGTTTCAACCAGACTTTGGAGAGCATCCAACTACCCAGCAGCCTGCAGAGTTTGACGTTTGGCGCCCTTTTCAACCAGAGTTTGGAGGGCATCCAACTACCCAGCAGCCTGCAGAGTTTGACGCTTGGCCGCAATTTCAACCAGACTTTGGAGGGCCTCCAACTACCCAGCAGCCTGCAGAGTTTGACGCTTGGTGGCCAGTTCGACCAGAGTTTGGAGGGCATCCAACTACCCAGCAGCCTGCAGAGTTTGACGTTTGGCGAAAATTTCAATCAGAGCCTGGAGGGCATCCAACTACCCAGCAGCCTGCAGAGTTTGACGTTTGGCACCCGTTTCAACCAGACTTTGGAGGGCCTCCAACTACCCAGCAGCCTGCAGAGTTTGACGTTTGACCAAAATTTCAATCAGAGCCTGGAGGGCATCCAACTACCCCGCAGCCTGCAGAGTTTGACGTTCGGCACCCTTTTCAACCAGACTTTGGAGGGCATCCAACTACCCAGCAGCCTGCAGACTTTGACGTTTGGCCACAATTTCAACCAGAGTTTGGAGGGCATCCAACTACCCAGCAGCCTGCAGAGTTTGACGTTTGGCAGACAGTTCAACCAGACTTTGGAGGGCATCCAACTACAGAGCAGCCTGCAGAGTTTGACGCTTGGTGGCCAGTTCGACCAGAGTTTGGAGGGCCTCCAACTACCCAGCACTCTGCAATTTCTCACTTCGCGGAATTTTTGTGTTGCCACGTGGTGAGCCCTGATGTGCTGGTTTTGCGTCCTTTCAAGGCCAGCTGGGTCGAATGACCGTTCAGGGTTTTGGTTTGAGGGGCGGCTTTGGTTCTTGACGAATGTCCTACAGCAGGTCTTCGTCGTCACGGCTGCTGGTATCTATGGCGGCGCTCGTTCCTGACCTCTTTGGATCCCATACCCAGCATGACTGTTCCAGAAGATTTTGAACTCGAAAGGAAGCCCACGTCCTGTTGCTAACCACCAACCCGCTGAGTGCTTTTAAGTTCTCAGCCTAACGGCTGATTTGGGCACAAGCCTCTTCTTATGGACCTGCTCAGCGGAGAAAGCGCCACTGCATATTTGGAAATCAACCCTTGCAGCCCTGTTTTTGGGCTTGTGGCTTCGAAGGGCTGTCGTAGCCCTGAGTACTGAGGGTCCATGTGCCCAACCCTAAACCCTATAAACCCTAAACCGTACTTAAAGGATCATGGGACTTGGTAGCTAGGGTTATATTTCAGGTAACTCAACTTATATCTTCTTATAACCCCGATTATGGGACTTATAACCTCACTTACTAAGTTCCACGATCCTCCAAGTAACCCTAATGGTCTATACTTCGGCCCTTTCCTGCCTATATACAGACGACTTCAAGGCCAAAGTATATGCTAGTTGGGCGCATGGACCCTTACCCTAAGGCTCAAAATAGCCCAAGAGCGTCATATAGTATGGTCTCCAGGCCCAAAAGCCTCAAAATGTGAGCCATTACAAAGCCCGTTATAGGGCAGGGGTCCCCAGTAAGGGTCCCTCCTTTTCCCCGTTGATAGAACTACGGCCTTGGACAGGCCAAGGCGAGGTCCCGAAGCCCTTTAAGCAGTGGCGCTACCCCAACCCTAAGGCTCTAAGGGGTGTATAATAGCTATATTAAGGGTATATACCCAGGGGTCCTTCTTAAGGGTCCCTCCCTTTACCCTTGGATTCTAGCCTCGCGGGTCTTACCCTTTTGCCGCAGTACCAATCAAGATCCCTATAAACCCTAACCTAAACCCCTAAACCCTCAATCCTAAACCCTTAAACCCGTGTCGGAATCCCCGAGACGTGGACGGCGCCGGGCACGATCCACCTAGCCAGCCCGGCTTCCCGAATCTGCTCGAGGATCCCTTCATGGAGGATCATGGGACTTAGTAAGTAAGGTTCTTACCTTTCATGAAGACTAACCCTATACCCGTAGGCCCCAT